ACTCATTTAATCTGAGTATTCAGCTCAACCTGAGTCATTTATAATCTCGTAAACTCTCAGGTTTGTTTCCTGTCTTCAGGATCAATAATCTGAGAGCGTCTCTCTCCACAAACTTCTTTCACTGTGACATTTGTGCTCGTGATGAATCCTCTCTGCTGCTCTTTCATTCCCATTTGAACCTCGACTGCTTTGGTCACGTTCAGTGTGGATCAGCTGTGGGCTGCAGAGCGTGTGACTCTCCCAAAATGAACCCATAATGTGATTCATTGGACCAGTGGCCCAGAGTTTACGCTCAGGTTTGGTGCTGATGTGGCAGCAAGTTGAACTAACCTGCATTTAAATGCCTCCTGCAGCCTGTGAGCATCTGACCTGCATACTGACCGAGTGGCCGCCAACCTCAGCGCTAAGAACCACTGACGCTGGTTCTCTGTGTGTTTGTTAAAGTCAGTGAGACCTTCTGTCGGAGCAGATGGAACGCTTCCAGCCTGGATGAATAAATCAGATACAAGTCTAATAATATTCCTGTAATGTTACACTGTGAGCAGCTTTCAGTGGGTGAAGCTGACTCTGCTTCATCTGCTCCTGTGACCTTTGTTAAATTCCTCTTCATCAGTGTTTCAACAAGCAGCGCTGGGATGTAACTAAGTACTTTTACTTGAGTATTTCCCCTTCATGCTAACTCCACCACATTTCAGAGGGAAGTATTGTAGATTTTATGGCTGCTCTAGTTTCCAGGCTGAAGATGAAGGTTTCTCCGCAACATGAGTTTATTTAGAATTTATTTCGTTCTGCAAATAGAAATAAGAACATCATGTATTCATCCACAAATTCACGTTAATGAAGTCACAGCTTCTCACAGAAAATGACGGATTCTTAAATAGCCTAGTGCAAAACATTACAATAAAGTCATAACTTTAAAAAGCCACAGCTTATAACACTGATCTGTTTAACAGCACGTCATGTTTAATAATCAACAACAAAACAAACCAAAACAGGTAAACAAGACAACATAGCAACAAAAAAAAAAGAAAAACAACTTTCAGAAAGCAACGGACACACTTTAGGTTTCTCTTCTTGTACGAATTTATTTTCAGATTTGACCGAGACATTATTTTTAAACTTTTCCCTTCGTGATGTTCTCCATGTTTTCAGTTCTTCACAACATCTGCTCCATAAACTCACTCCTTTAACTGAGATACAGTGTAGTCTGGTGTTCGTCCTCTCTCAAGCACACGTTTCTGATTATAGGCGACTGACTTTTACTTGTAACAGAGTATTTTTTAAACTGTGGTTTAAGTACTTTTACTCAAGTTAAACTGTGATCATACTGAACATCTTCAATTATACCCGAGTAATTTTTTCTCTTTTTTTAATGAAGAAAATAATCAGCAGAGTAATCCATAACAGAAATAATCATATGTTTCAGTTTCATACAAATAGTAAAGACTTATTTATATAACATAGTGTGACAGTCACAGTAGAGGAGGCAGGAGAAAGGGTGAGATGAGGCGCTGTGGCGACCCTGAAGGGAGGAGAAGAAGAAGTGTAACAGTCACAGCGTTCAGTTTTACTTTGAATACTTTAAGCACATGTTTATGATCACAGTCTCCTGATTTTACTTTAGTCAGACTCTCATTACAGGACTTTTACTTGTAACAGAGTTTTTGAAAGTATCAGTACTTTTACTTTAAGTTAAACTGTAATTATATTGAATATAGTCTATTATATGCAAGTATTTTTTTCTCTTGAAGAAAATAATCAGCAGATGAATCCATGATGGAAATAATTATTAGTTTCAGTTACATACAACATAGTAAAGAATTATTTATATAAAATAACAGTCTAAGCATCACTTTTTAAATTTAATGTTATTTTATTTTATTATACATTAAGTATTTTTACTTTTAGTACTTCAGGCACATTTTCCTTTAACTGTGGTATTAGTACTTTTACTTTAGTTAAAATTGAATCATATTAAACTGAAGTCTGTTGTTCTCGAGTAATTTGTTGTTTTTCATATTTATTCCTTTAATTGACGGGCTCTTATTTTGAAGGCGTCATGCCGGAAGCAGTGACAGGTGAGCTGTGTGAAAGTGTTTCCTGTAAACGGAGCAAAAGTCGTGTTTTGTGTGTGTTCATCGCCCGCTGATGGAGGCTCAAGGTCTGTCAGCACATTGTGTTTAATATAAAGTGACATTACAGCGTGTTTTCACTCTTTGACCGAGTTTAGACGCTCGTGTGTGTTAGCTAGCAGCTATGTTAGCTCTTAGCACCGTGTCCCGCTCACTTCCGGTCAGTAGAGAGGCCGCGTCATCACCTGTCCTCAGGTGTCACTGTGTTTACATGAAGCTGCAGCTCGTGTGTGATTTTACTGACAGATCTGATCATGTTTGTGTTGATTGTAGTAAAAACAAAATCACTACTTTTACTATTTATTAACAAGTTAAAAAAGAAGCTGTGTAATAATCTAACAGCAGTTACATTAAGTAACTTTGTACTTGTACTCCACTACACCTCAGAGGGAAACACGAAGTTTTTTTGTCAATGACTATTTTTCTTACAGAGGAAAGTACAGAGGTAAAAATAGTAAATAAATAAATAGTTAAATAAAATATTAATATTAATAATAATAATAATGAAAATATTCTTAAGAATTTTTTCAGAGGGAAGTACAGAGGTACAAATAAATAATAAATAAATTATTATAATCTTTTTTATTAATTATTTTTTTACAGAGAAAAGTATAGAGGTAAAAAATAACAACAGTAAGAAATAAAAGTATAATGATAATGATATTAATAATAATGAATGAGTAAATTAATAATGATAATAATAAATTGTTAATTATATTTTTACAGGGGAAAGTACAGAGGTAAAAGCAGGTAAATAATAAATCATAAATTATTCCTTCAAGTTTACTCACTAATGATTAAAAGGCTTCACTAATGAACTATTGTTTTTTATGTAATTTTTTTTTTATCACAGGTTATATTCTGGATTATTTTGAGGATCAGCTGTTTGGTGAATGAAACATCAGAAAACAGTGAAAAATGTTTTGTCTTGTCCAACCAACAGTTAGACAAGAACAAGCAGCAAATTCTCACAGCTGAGAAACTGAAACCAGAGAATAAAGACAAACTATTATTAAGTTATTAAAATAGATGCTGATGAGTTGTCTGTGGATCTAATAAATTAACTGACTAATTGTTTCAGCTCTAGCAGAGAAAATGAGAGATAACCAGAGGTGAAGGTTTCAGTTTATTTCAGGGACAAAATGCTGTTTTAGTCTTTGTGACAGCGTCTGAACAAAAACTAAACTTCAACATGTAAATTTAGAAGCTGTAAACACATGGAATAAAAACACCTCCTCGTACTTCAGCACACAGAGAAGACAAGAGGGGCAATCAGTCAGAGTTTAAGTGTTCAGATCATTTCACCGTGACCCTAAAAACCATCATGTTGAGAGTGTGAGTGGAGCGAAAAGTGGAGTGAATGAGAGCTGAGAAAAGAGGCTTTTAACAGCAATTACTGCAAAACGCAGACGGTATTATTTTTAGTGGCGGCGGTGAACTCAGTTTGTGATGTCAGCCGCCGTCTCTTCTCCTGGAAGATGTAACTTTGATCAAAATTTGTGGAGTTTTCGGCCACCAGCCTGTGGAGCCGTGGTTTTATAAATGAGTCTTGTGTTTATGCATGAGGTGGTGACACGGCAGGAAACACAGCAACACGCTTAAAAACAAACCAAAACAGCAAAATGAGAGCTTCAGCAGGTTAGTTAGACCTGTAGGTCGTATGTTTAGCTGCACACGTCACTTATCCAGCACAGTCACCTGAAATAAGTTCAGTTCAGCTTTATTACATGTACATGTATAATGTTGGCATCACACATTTCTGTTAACCTGTACATTATCACGTAGTTGATACATTAAAACTTAGGTTTCTTTAACTTTCAACAGCGCTGTGGTTTATTCGTGACTAGGTTTAGGCACAAACACCACCTGTTTATGGTTAGGAAAAGATGGATTGGCTTCGAATACCTGCTCTTTATGTCTCAGCTGGAAAGGCAGCGAAGTTTCTGTCCACTTTTCATGAAACTATCTCTGGTGGAAAAACAGCCATGGGTCACCAGAGAGCACCCACGTTTGGTGCCTATAAAATAGCGACGGATTGTTAAACTTATGTATAGCGCCTGACAAGCCACCAGAATAACAGCAGCAAGTTGTTGCCTCAAAAGCTGCTGGAAAAACAGCCACTGGTCGCTAAAAAAACACTCACGTCTGATGTGTAAAAATCCGCTTGAAAATAGCTACCGGTCGCTAAAAGACAACCACGTTTGGTGCCTGTAAAGCCGCTGCAAAAACAGTGAGGGGTTGTTTAAAACACCCATATTTAGAGGCTAAAAAGCTGCTGGATAAACACCAATGGGTTGCCAAGAAACAACTCTCATTTGATGCCTATAAAGCTGTGAGAAAAACAGCCACAGGCCACTAAAAACTCCCGTGTCTGGTGCCTAATAATCTGCTGGAAAAACTTTCTCATGTTGCGTAAAAACACTCACGTCTGATGTGTATAAAGTTGCTGGAAAACAGCCAAAGTTTTCTAAACAAGAACACCAACCTTATGTGCCTATAAAGCTGCTGGAAAAATGGTGATGGGTCGTTAAGAACAGCCACTGGTCACTAAAAGACACCCATGTGTGGTGCCTTTAAGGCTGCTGGATAAACAGGGATGGGACGCTTACAAACACCCATGTAGTGACTCGCTGGATCACAAACTGTTGTTTGTTAGTCTCAAACAGTGGTTTTCAGCTTTAGAAACCTCCGACTGTGACGTATTTGTGGTTTGCAGACACACTCGCTGCCAGCATTTTCTTCTGGTGACTGGACTGAATTATCTCTGTTTCCAAAGTGAAGGTGAAGAGTTAGCTGCTGTAAACAGCTCCGTCTCCTCCCTCTGTGTTTCATAATAAATAATTCTCACTGTTTATCTCTGTGAAACAGGAGGCCTTTTCCCCACCGGCTCCCATGAGTACGAGGTGTTTCGCTTCGCCCTGGCGCAGCACCAGGACGTCCCCAAACTGGTGCCACAGGTCGACATGGTGGACACGGGGAGCAGCTTCGCCATGACCTACGCCTGTAAGTTCAGACACAAAGAAGTCCTACAATCTGACGTGATGTTTTTTAAATGTCAAGGACATGAAAATGTATTTTTTATTCTTATCATGGAGCCACAGACCCTCCGTGAGCTAAGGCTGCATTTTAAGCGATGGCTCTGGGCTGCCAGAGTTTGGTGAAGTCATTCAGCCAAATGTTCCTCTGTGACCTTTCTGGGTTTATTCTTTATATTAGTCTGAATCAAATGACTTTCAGAAAGTGCTGCTCACAGTGTCGACCCTGAAGATAATTAACAGCAACTCTGCAGCTCGACTGAGCCTGTGATTTGTCAAATATGTCATATTGTAGTCACTTCCTGTCTGTTTCAGTCTGATAACCTCAGCGTTCAGCACCTGCTCTGCAGCAAACAGCACTCAGACACACTCAGAGACGAGCTGCGAGCACAGCGCAGCATGTAGCTGCTAATGAGGCAGATATTTCCCTCAGCAGTTGGTGGAGACCAAAACCAGAGCTGAAAGAGAGAAGCTATTGACTCAGACTGTGACGTATCTGCTGGATGAAAGTTAAACTGTGGGCTGACGGTGCATCAGTGTCTTCATGAGTTAGTTTGAGAGTCTTTCTCCAGTGGTCCAAACAAACTCAAAGCAGCCGTCACTGTAGCTTCTTATTATGTCTTTAACTGTTGTCGTGCACTTTCTGTTCAGACTCTCTTCTTATTATTTAGCTTTTTACCTCCTGCATTGATCTGCACTGTTTGTGTCCTCACGAAGGATTTTCTCATCTTAAACTAGACACAGGTGTCTCTTTTCAAATGTCTAGAGGAGCCGATACGTCCGTCCTGTTTCATTGCTCTGTTTGGCGTTTCACCACAGTGTGTGCATCTCAGTAATCATGTGTGCAGCACGCTGGCCGTTTGCTGTTCAGGTGGAGAGACTTTCTCCCACCGACACATTCTCACTGGATCAAAGAGATTGTGAAATATCTCAGGCTACACAAGATAAGAAATTCTCTCTGACCGTCTGTTTCTGAGGTTCGATGCAATTTTGCAGATGGAGATGGAGGTAACGAATGTGACCCTGCGTACCAGGTGTTACGCCTCAGCGCAGGGCGAGGCCACGTGACCTCAAATCAGCATCAGGAGTGATTAAACATTTTACCTCGATTACGATTAATGAATGATTATTTATTTTTGGTTTTTGCCCTCGTACTATTGAAACTGTTTTTTAATATAGGAGTGCAGATCTTTGTGATTTAAAATAACTGAAGGAAAGACACAGATGAACTGTTAAAGTTATTCGTTTAATATTTAGTTATTTTGAATATTATCTATCCTCTGTAAATACTTGTGTTTCTACGAGCTGCTCTGTGGAGGTGCTCGTCGGTCTCTCTTATCTTTTTTGAGTCGTGCACTGTTCACATTCAGTAATGGGATTGTTCTCCAGGTGCTGGAACAGATCGCTGACGTCACCTTTGGTCGCTCAAACAGTTTTTCTGCAGTGTTGACATTTGATTTCTTTCTGTTCAGCGTCATCTTCACGAAAGCCAAAATGTGTCCAAACGGCGGGCACGACATTTCTCTTTGGTACAAGCTGCTCCAGCTGCTCAGTTGGCTTGGTGTTTGACGTGACTAAATTACGGTCCGTCCCATCCATGTAAACACGGTATCACAAGAAGTCCTCGAGGGGATGTCTTCAGATTTGGCACAAATGTCAACTTGGACTCAGCGATGAAGTGAGCAGGTTTTGGTGGATAAAGGTCACTGTGACCTTGTCTGTCTCATTCTCTGTCTCATTCTCCTGAACGTGATCTCTCAAGAACGCTTTGAGGGAAAATCTTGAAAAAGTTGAGGTCAGTTCAACTTTGGTTTGTAGCACGTCACGCTTGTTAGCTGCGTCATGTCAACGGATTCCATTGAAAGTGAATGGTAGCCTGTTGCTGTGTCGCTGGTCGTGTGAACGCAGCGTAACGTGCTGCCACTGACAGAGCGGGACGCAACAAAGAGTTTGTCTTCTTGGTTCAACAGACAGAGCCTCCATGTTATTATGTCATGTCTAAGGTCAGATTTTAGGGATATAGACGCTGCTTGTAAAACTCTGAATGTTCTCCTCGTGCACGTGTGTGAGACAGTCACTTCACTACAAGCTGATTGGCTGTTGAAACAGGTGACGTGCTTTAAAACCAGCCGCCGGCCATTTGACCAGCTTAGTGTCAGGTGACATCACCAGCAGGCTTGAGGCGAGCTCAGACTGGCCAGTTCACACCGCTGACACTTTTCGTTCTGAAACAGTTCCATCTCGTCATGAATCTTTGGTCTGTTGGTGAAGGCGGAGCCTGCCGTCCACTGTAGTCACCATCATGGGTCACTGCTCCATTCTTCCACCGTCCTGACTCCGTTCAGCAGAGATGGGATTTAGGGGAAATAGCAGTAAATGGAGGCTGGCTTTAAAAGAGCAGACAGCAGGAGTAAATGGACGCAGACCAGAGGGAGCTCAGCACTAAATGGACTGTGGCTCCGGGGAGCGTTCAGCGCTCTACAGCAGGTTTACAGAACAATGTGCTGACCTTGTTTTTATTCTGCCCCCGAAACGCTGAATTTACCAGCCGGCTTCATTACACCTGAATTAAATGTGTACACATAAAGACATGAGCAGCTGCCTTAATGTGATGGAGCTATTTAAAGGTGTCCTGTAAGTGTGTGAGCAGACGCTGAGCTGATGGAGATGGAAAAGAAAACGTTTTCATCATTCAGATTTTTCACAGTTTGCTGCTTACTTACATTTTCTGCAAGATTTATTAACTATATTATAAATCTACACATTTCTACAACTGTTTTGCATTTATAGGCAGAATGCAGTCAAAGGCCACTTTATTAGGTACACCTTGTTGGTTCCAGGTTGGACCCCCTGTTTAATTCTTGGTGTCACAGACTCAACAAGGTGCTGGAAACATTCCTCAGAGATGTTGGTCCATATTGACATGATGACATCACACAGTTGATCCATGATGAGAATCTCCCGTTCCAGCACATCCCAAAGGTGCTCTTTTGGACTGAGATCTGGTGACTGTGGAGGCCATTGGAGTACAGTGAACTCATTGTCATGTTTGAGATGATGTGAGCTTTGTGACATGGTGCGTTATCCTGCTGGAAGTAGCCATCAGAAGATGGGTACACTGTGGTCATAAAGGGATGGACACGCTCAGCAACAATACTCAGGTAGGCTGTGGTGTTTAAACCATGCTCAGTTGGTACTAAGAAAATCTCCCCCACACCATTACACCATCAGCAGCAGCCTGAAGCGTTGATACAAGGCAGGATGGATCCATGCTTCCATCTGAATGTGGTTTCTGGCTGCATAAAAAAAGCCACATTTAAATATACGGAGCCAAAATCCTGAATCATCCTGAAAAAAACAAAAGTTTTTGATTGTAAAATATGAACTCCTCCCTCAGGAGTCATGACCTCAGCGCCCTCAGTGACGGCTGAAGACTCGCTCTGCGTCTTCAAGATCAAAACTCCATTGTGCTGCATATTAAACAGGTTTTAGTTTCGTTCTGAGATTTTAAAATCTGTTAACGATGCTCTCTCAGATTTGGTTTTAGTGCCCAGCAGTGCCGCCGGATCCCAAAATGTGTTTCCAGCCTGATGTTTGGAAACTCAGGACGGCTCTCACAGTGGTTTTTTATCAACAAGTGCAGCAACAAGTGTTTTTCTGCTGAGTCATGCTTTGCTCCTTCCCACAGAGTCCCATCGAGCCGGTCTGCAGCTCTCATCCCTCTGAATCTCCTCCTTTGATTTTAGTCTTAATACTTCAGGAGCTTTTGGGGAGGTGAAACATCCTCATCACAGCAGAGACTCAGACACGTTACTCATTTAACCCCAGTTTACCTCGTTATTAGAGGGAGGAACATCTGGCTGCAGCCCCGACTGATGTTAGGCAGGATTTATACTGTGCGGCAGAACCTACACATGACACCTACGACACTGTGAGCATTTATGTGTATATATATTGGTGTGTCTGTGTCACTCTGCAGTTTCACCCCCGAAACACTAGATGGCAACAGAAGTTTCTTTGAAGTGCTGTAAAGTTTAGTTGATTCAAAACACGCATTAAACACACAGTAAACACACAGTAAACATGCATTAAGCACACAGTAAACACACAGTAAACACGCATTAAGCACACAATAAACACACATTAAACACTCAGTAAAACACACATTAAACACACAGTAAATACACATTAAACACACAGTAAACACACACTAAACACGCATTAAGTACACAGTAAACACACATTAAACACGCATTAAGCACACAGTAAACACAGTAAATACACATTAAACACACATTAAACACGCATTAAGCACACAGTAAACACATTAAACACACACTAAACATGCATTAAGCACACAGTAAACACACAGTAAACACACATTAAACACGCATTAAGCACACAGTAAACACACAGTAAACACACATTAAACACACATTAAACACATAGTAAACACACATTAAACACATTAAACACGCATTAAGCACACAGTAAACACATTAAACACACAGTAAACACACATTAAACACACAGTAAACACACATTAAACACATTAAACACACAGTAAACACACATTAAACACACATTAAACACATAGTAAACACACATTAAACACACATTAAACACATTAAACACACATTAAACACATTAAACACACAGTAAACACACATTAAACACATTAAACACACAGTAAACACACATTAAACACATTAAACACACAGTAAACACACATTAAACACACATTAAACACATAGTAAACACACATTAAACACACATTAAACACATTAAACACACATTAAACACATTAAACACACAGTAAACACACATTAAACACATTAAACACACAGTAAACACACAGTAAACACACATTAAACACACATTAAACACATAAAACACACATTAAACACATTAAACACACATTAAACACACATTAAACATGGCTTAATAGAGACAGTTTCAAACACAAAT